ATGAAACACGGATTAGGTCTACAAAAGTACCGAAAGTGCTTGTGAAAAGGGTACGTTTTCGGCTATTTTTCTGATTCAATTTTACGTTGACAAAACGTACTGGGAAACTACGCTTAAGAGGGGTTTGACGAGCTGCTGAAGGTAATTTTAACCCTTAATTAGGCGCATAAAGAAACTCACACAATTGAGTAGTCCACTTGCAAACAACGTTATGTGATTTTGTAATAGAAAGCCATAAATTTGAAAAAAACGACTACGACAACAAGTAACATTTAAATGGAATCTTTTTTATTATTACTTGAAAATTTGAATAAATAAGAGATTATATAATTATAACATAACATACATGACATAAGATAACACTAACAGTTTGTACGACCTAAAGCAGTTTTCTAAGATCATCAGAAGATGGCTACTTTTGAAAGTTTATAAATAAGTATGATAGCGGCTTTTGGAAGAAGAGCTTATTTGATGCTATTGTTTCAGAATATAAAAAGATGTTGCACTGTGGTGTTAGTGGACATGAAACTACTTTAAATACTGGTACGTAATCCAACAAAAACTAAAAATCCAAAAGATTTTACATAGCGCACTTTGCAAGTGGGCTACTCAATTAGTCGCATGGGGCCCCAGGGACCCCAATAAAAGTGTTTAAAAAATTGTTTTCAAAATGAAAAAAAAACGAAGTGAATTTGCCCGCACCACTAATATATTCTAGCCACTAGCGGCACCCCAGGCATACGCATACCCTGGGGTGCCGCGTCACCCACTTTGGGAAGGCCTGATGTAGAGTGTTTGTTTGTTTTGAACGAAGCGCTGCTTGTACAAGTTAACGCAACAGTTTACAACAGCTCTGCAGAATTGACTTCTACCAACGGTCAGCAACTCCACACGCGCATCCGCACAATTGCTGACACCGCATTAACCAATTTGTTATTCGATCAGCAATAATAATTGGCACAACAACGATTGGGCAATATTCGGAAATAGTGCATATGCAAGTGCAACTTGACTGATGGCCGATAGTAGGTTTAATTTAATGTTAAGAATCCAATTGTATTCAGTTCTAAGTTTAGACTCAATTAATAAAGACGTGGGGACGCGAGTCCCCACACTTTTTTAAAAATGCGTTATTTAATAAAATAACTTAACTGGCGCCCGAGCAGGGACCAGTTTAAGTTCGCGTGTCGGTTTAAGTACGTTATTGGCAAAAGTCGCCTGTAAGGAGAGCCGAGTGCCACCGCGTCGCGGTAAAATCCGAATGTTGCCGTGCGGGAAAAACGTGAAAATAAACGGACAAGTCGCCTGTCAACAACAGCCGAAGGACCGTTAGGAGGACAAGCAACTTAACTGGTGCCAAACCACATATCAGCGTTGGAATCCGGTAGGATAGTAACGCACACTTTCATTCGTGCGCATCGAGGGTACCCGAGTAGAGCAGCGAAAAGGACATCTACCCCGTCGCCAGGAGGTGCTAGGAAGTAAGAATTAAAACAAGTTGATTAGTAATTAAGTATTGGAAAAAAATTTTAAGGAATTTGAAAAAAGAAAATTAATAAAATCATAAACTTTTGCAAACGAAAATAATTTAAGTAAATTTTAAAGAGAAATTTAACAAGATATTTGAAGAATTTTTTTTTCTCGCAATCTACGTATGAAAATATTCAAAGAAAATTTTATAATATAAGAGTGAGAAGTGAAGAAGGAAAAGGAGAAAATTTTCGAACTGCAATCAATTCATTTCAGATTAAAACTTTGTTGAAGTTTACTTACCCTAAATAATATCTAAATAATATCGGGCTTGTACAGCCAATAACTGATACAAATCGAAAGCTGCGATTCACCACCTTCGGGGAGACCCTCCAGCTTATAAAAAAAAATCTCTGCGATTCACCACCCAAGGGACCCTCCAGAGAATTTTAAACTACAAACAAAAAATAACTAAGGCTTGTACAGCCAATAACTGATAAAAATCTAAAGCTGCGATTCACCACCTTCGGGGGGACCCTCCAGCTTATAACAACAGTCCAACTCTGCGATTCACCACCAAAGGGACCATCCAGAGGATAAGGACACATTAATAAAATAAATAAAAATTAGTTATGGCAAATCCTAATAACCTCGTCCGACCCCCATTGCTAAAAACGACTCCCACAGCCCCTTCGCAACCAGTTACCCACAACCCTAACGAAATTAATATGGAACAACTAACGAATATAATAACTGGCGTGGTGACTAATATATTAAGACAAGAAGGACGAAACCTAGTGCAAGCCGCCCTCAACCCCAATGCAAATTTTACAAATATTACGGACGTGACCATAGACTCGACCCTAGCGAACAATATAACGGAACTAGACAAAATTCCGGACGTTGTGAGATGCCTACGCGAATTCTCAGGCAATCCGGGAGAGTTTAACTCCTGGAAAAAAAGCGTAGATAGAATATTGCAGATCTACGAGCCACAAAAAGGAACGCCAAAATATTATGGCATCCTTAATGTTATACGAAATAAAATCGTGGGTAACGCCGATATTGCCCTCGAATCTTATAATACACCGCTGGATTGGAAGGCTATTTCGAGATGCCTTACCCTCCACTACGCAGATAAACGAGATTTGGGAACTCTAGAGTACCAGATGACCGCATTAGTGCAGGGCAACCTCACTATTCAAGAATTTTACCAAAGGGTGTATTCACACCTGTCACTTATTCTCAACAAACTCGGATGTATGGAAGTAGGTACAGAATCCATGCATTTGCTTACACGAACCTACCGGGACAAAGCCCTCGACACCTTTATTCGAGGACTAAACGGTGACTTGCCGAGACTTCTTGGCATGAGAGAACCGGTAGATCTTCCTCAGGCTCTCCACTTATGCTTAAAACTGGAGAACCAAAACTTCCGTTCAAACTACGCGCTGAATAATAATGGCCAAGTTAAGAAAGAGATCTGCGACCACCTCCTCCACCAAGAAAAATAAGTAATGAATTCTACCCACAACTGGCGTACATTCCAAGACCATACATGACTCCACATAATTTTATGGCTCACCAACGCCCACAACCTACTCTTAATTACCGTAATTCGCCAAATTATAGGCCTCCGGCTCAACCCCCCGCTAAGACGCAACTTCCACGTCCAAAACCAATGGATGTCGATCGCTCCTTGCATTCAAAAGCGGTTAACTACATGAATAGGCCACCACTTAATAACCAGGCCGGGAAAAGACCATCCAACTTTTCCCAACAAGTGCCTCTGAAGCAACAGAGGAACTTCCACATTGAGGCAGGTACTCAAGAAGACCAATACTATTTACAGGACCAACAAGACCAATATTATCCGCAAGATCAACAGGATTGGGATCCAACAGCGGAAGAGTATGAAGCAGAAATTGCCAAAGAAGAAGGTGGGCAATCAGTTCAGGAATACGCTGAACAAAATCCATCACAAGACGTTCAAGACCATATCGATATTCATCTTTTAGAATGAACAGTTCTTCGTTGCCGTATGTAGAGTGCAGAACGAAGAACGGAACAATTCTGAAAATGCTCATCGATACCGGTTCGAGCAAAAATTACATCCAACCCTGCCTCGTGTCAAAACGAATTCCCAATGACCAACCATTTTTTGCTAATTCCATAGCCGGACAGATACAAATTACCCACCACACAGTTATTAATCTATTTGGCAGAAAGGACACGAATTTAAAACGCTTTTTGCTCCCCACCCTAAAATCCTTTGACGGCATAATTGGAAACGATAGTCTTAAAGATCTTCGTTCCACCATAAACATCCACGACGACTCCCTCACATTTGGCAATGGCATAAAAATAAAAATTAAACAACAACCTTCACCATCGGTTAACAAAATTGACGTAAGGACCGACCACATGACAGAAACGCAAAAACGACATATTGACCGTCTCACAAACAAATATCCGCACCTNGCATAATTGGAAACGATAGTCTTAAAGAGCTTCGTGCCACCATAAACATCCACGACGACTCCCTCACATTTGGCAATGGCATAAAAATAAAAATTAAACAACAACCTTCACCATCGGTTAACAAAATTGACGTAAGGACCGACCACATGACAGAAACGCAAAAACGACATATTGACCATCTCTCAAACAAATATCCGCACCTATTTACCGAACCAGATGAGAAACTCACCTACACCACTACTGTAGTAGGGGAAATTAGAACCTCTTCAGACACCCCAGTATACACCAAATATTATCCTTACCCCCTAGCAATGAGAGACTTTGTGAAACAAGAAATAGAAAATCTATTAAAAGATGGAATTATTGGGCCATCCCGTTCACCCTACAACTCGCCCATGTGGGTTGTACTTAAGAAGTAAGACGCGTCTGGACAAAAAAAATACAGACTCGTAATTGATTATAGGAAATTAAACACCCTAACAATATCCGATAAATACCCAATCCCGGAAATCAACGAGGTGATCTCGCAACTGGGAAACAACACATATTTTTCTGTTCTTGATTTAAAGAGTGGCTTCCATCAGATTCCTCTGAAGGAATCCGACATTGAGAAGACAGCTTTCATTGTATCACAAACAGGGCTTGAGGGCTTTTCTTGGTCTATCAGGCTATTATCGACGCTTTTTCAGAGATTACGCCAAGTTAGCGAAACCTCTGACATCACTTTTGAGAGGGGAAGATGGACGCGTGTCCAGCGTATTACGGACTTCTAATAATTTGTGCCACAATCACAACCTCCCTAACGGACGTTAAAATTTTGGACTATAATAAAGCGCGACTGGTGACAATAGACAATGGACAAGCGAAAATACAAGACGGCACATTCAGACTTATTCATCTCATCGACTTAGCAAAATACGAACGATTTTTGACAGAGACCTATAACGAGATAGCCAACCAAATACCTAATGACCACTTCCTATATCCTATCGTAAAACATGAAACCACCCAAATTGATATATTGGGAACGGCATGGAAGTACTTAGCCGGATCTCCTGATCATGAAGATTTAAATATAATAACAAACAACTNTTCAGACTTATTCATCTCATCGACTTAGCAAAATACGAACGATTTTTGACAGAGACCTATAACGAGATAGCCAACCAAATCCCTAATGACCACTTCCTATATCCTATCCTAAAACATGAAACCACCCAAATTGATATATTGGGAACGGCATGGAAGTACTTAGCCGGATCTCCTGATCATGAAGATTTAAATATAATAACAAACAACTTAAATAGCTTAAATGAGAACAACAATAATCAAACCAAATAGTAATTAACCAGTTATTCGAGAAACGCATAAATAGTANAAATGTTAAACACGATAAGGAAGGACGACAATGTTCTAACGGAAATTTTAATAAATTTGCAAAATAGAATCAGGCTAATTAAGGAAGAGCTAATTAATATAAGGTATGCCGTTCAATGGGCAAAGCATAATATAATAAATTCAGTAATGTTAAGCAAGGAAGAAGTAGAATTGTCAATTAGTAAATTAAGAGAAGATGAAATACCATTTAAAAGTGCCGAAGAAGCATTAGAACTGTCAAAAGTAAATGTATTTAGCCAAGATATGAAAATTATATACATGGTAAAAATACCTCTAACAATAAAAGAAACATTTAGAAGAAGTATTATACGACCTGTAAAAAGGATAAACAATATTGTAATTAAAACTGAGTATAATGAAATATTGAAAGGAATATATATTGTTTGGAATAAAAAATAAATGCGAAAGCTATAATGATGTAACCATTTGCAAGGAAACTCATTTGGTAGATTTAAGTAAAGATTTATGTGTAACTAGGATAATTAATAGTTTAAACTCAACATGTTCGAAAACCAACGGCCATCAAGTCCCTACGCTAGAACAAATAAAACCAGGAGTAATATTGCTAAACCAGTTCAACGGCAAACTAGAAGCCGACGAGACATCCCAAGAAGTAAACGGAACGCACGTGATAATATTCTACAATTCAACAATTAAAATCAACAGTCAAACATTCAGCAATATTGAAATAAAGCCAATCGAAACCATCCCTGCAATACTACAGCCAATCCCGTTGGAAAAGGACCACATATAACTACTTTCCCTAGAAGCCTTGAAGGACCTGCATATCAACAATACCCATCGAATAAATTCCCTCAAAAAGGCAACCTTCTCTGTCGGAAGTCTAACTACGGCAGCATTCTTAATAATCATAGTACTTCTTCTTTTTTTCTTAAGGAAACGATCCGTGAAAATCCAACATGTGGGAAAGGAAATAGTGAAGCCCAGCACAAGCCTGGAAGTCAATCCGTCAAGCGAAACAAACCACATTCCAACATACGTAAATCTCAACAACTTACCATTCTACTAATGATCGACGACGATCATATTTAAAGGGGGAAGAGTTAACGCAACAGTTTAAAACAGCTCTGCAGAATTGACTTCTACCAAAGGTCAGCAACTACACACGCGCATCCGCACACTTGCTGACACCGCATTAACCAATTTGTTATTCGATCAGCAATAATAATTGGCACAACAACGATTGGGCAATATTCGGAAATAGTGCATATGCAAGTGCAACGTGACTGATGGCCGATAGTAGGTTTAATTTAATGTTAAGACACCAATTGTATTCAGTTCTAAGTTTAGACTCAATTAATAAAGACTCGCGTCCCCACACGTTTTTAAAAATGCGTTATTTAATAAAATAACTTAACTTACATACATAAATTTCGCTTTGGGCGCAGCGCTGTTTGTACATGAATTTCGCTTTGCGCATGCCTGAAGCTGGCAAAGGTTCTTTTTTTATTTTTGCCCTGTGATAGCTGAGTATAAACAGAGAAGAGAATAGAGAGAAATATGTATCAAGAATGATAGAATGATGTATTCTGTCAATCGTGAATATGTATGTGGTTTGTTGATGCTCTCTAAACACAAACGCATTAAAGGCAAACGGTCTAGCAATGCGCGGTATTGTTGATCAACTTAATACTTTAATTAAACATACTTATTATTAAAATTTTATTTTAAAAATACCACTGTGTCCTACTGTGGTAGAAATATGTCATTTTAAAACTTGAATCATAGAAATCGACCCAGTACATCGGCTGTTTTTCTCTCACGTTATTTTGGGTTTTAATTTTATATATATTATAGACAAGCATCCAACCGGTAATAAAAAAATTATATAATCTTTTTAAAAATAACAGGTTTTGGCGATATTTATTTGTTTTTGACTTATGCAAAGTTGAATTTCGTTACTAAATAAAAAAAAAATCTTTAAAATAACAGAATAGTGCGAAGTGTTTAAAAATGCCTAAAGCTGAAAGAAATTCTTCAAGACAAACGAGAGCCGCAAGTGCAATAGCCCGTAATCGGAGAATAGTAGCGGCGGCGCGAATAGAAACGATGCCTGCAATCGGAATTAGATCTGCGTTTATTTGTCGACCTCAAATCAATTATATAGGTGATTTTTACAATAAAAGTCTATCTACACATATCAGTTCCGTACCTATCAGTGTCAGTAAAAAATATAATATCGTTGCCCCTGTCCCAAATAGAGTTGTTCAGATCGTCCGGCACAGTGCCGTTTTCTACCGTCAGTGCTGCTTCAGTGTTCGTTCCGCAATTTTTTTATACACTCTAAAAACTGCATGTAAAACTGCTACTGAAAAGTGTTTATTTTCAAACAAAATCACTAATTATACCCATAAGACGTTCAAGACTAGATTTTTGAACATGAGATGTTTAAAATATACACATGAAATGTTTAAAATTGCAAACGTTTTTAACGGAAAAATACATTCCCTACTAAAAATAAAAATTAAGTACATGTTGTGTGTAATTTTGCTCTACGCGACAAATTTGGTATGTAAAAGTAAATAGGCCATGTTTAAATTTATAAACACGGTGTCTAAATTTGCACACGTTACGAGAGGAAACTGGTAACTTCTCTTAGTATGCGATAATTTAAACAAACAACTTTTAGAGCAAATTTTAAACATTTTTGTGTAAACTGTGTAATTGTGAACACTAAGAAAATTCTATAGAAATTTTTGGAGTTACTTGGATACTTTAAAATAGTTAAATTAACGGCCCTAAGGGCCAAATTCACAGTGCTGTATTGAAAATCTGAAGTTAAATACCGTTTTGAGTTAACTCTGCACTGTGAATTTGGCCTTAAGTGTTAGAGTTCAACAAACAAATTTCAAATTTGTTCTACGCCACACATATGGTAAGTAAAAGCCAAAAGGCAGTATTTAAATTGATTAACACGGTGTGCAACTTTGCATACATTAAGAGATGAAACTGGTTACCTTTTTAATATGCTTAAATTTAAACAAAAATTTTGTTAGAGTGAAGAAACTCGGCAAAGATTTGTTTGTGTATTTCCTTGACGAGATGACGGTATTCTATTGCAAGTTTGGTCTGATATGGAGGGAAAGTTAATCGAGTTAGTACGGAATTATCCAGAATTATATA